TGTCTTTTCTCCTTCTCTTTCTCACATAACTTTCTCCCTCAAACCACACAAAAATGTAGGCATTTAACCTGCCACGATGCAGCAAATATTTCCAAGGAAAAAAGGGTTTACCTGCATTAGGAAGAGCACCACAGCAATACCCACAACCAGGAGCACATAGAGTTGGCTCTGAGATTTCAGCAACGAACAAAATCTTGAGTTGAAATATCTGAACAAATATGGCGCGGATGCAGACCCGGAACACCTTTCTTGCTGGTTCGTATTACTCAAGTCAGGCAATTTCTCTGATATTAATGTTCCAGTTGCACCATTTGACTTTCTCTCGCATGCATCTACTCCCACTTGCTTTTCCATGTCACCTTGATCACTTGGATTTGAATTAGCTGCAAGCGGGGTGGGGGTGGGGTGTTAGTTGATGAGGTTTTTGGTATGTACATACGAGAGCAAAGCATCTTAAGCAACAATACCCTGTTCCTTCTCAAGCTTCTTTTGCTTCAACAATTCATGTGCCTGCCAGAGGAGGAGGCCCCTGATGAACAATTGAACAACAGTGATCCAGCCATAAGCAGAAAAAGAAAAGAACGGAAAATACCAGTTCAATCCAAATGCCAAAAACATTCTCACATTCTTCAAGTGTGGACTGCAATATCTTCCCTGCCATTGTTTTTACACGTTTGTTTAAGACTCCATAACATATAGTTTATGCTCTCCTAGTTTGTTTCAAGCTTTAGAGATGAAAGGGGAAGATTACAATACTAATACAACCATCATAGATAAAGAGCTCTATCCATACATCCGTCCCCACCCCACACAAAAAAGAGGTCCAGTTTCAAGAACTTTTTGTCCAAAAAGCATGATTTTAAATATCTAATTTATTTATTTTTGAGAGTCATGCAAAGAGTGATGACCCCAGTAAATCTAGAAAAGAAGTTTTATGGAGATTAGCTCAAAATTATACTCTTTACTGGAAGGCTTGGAGAAAATGTGGGGGATAAGTGGCCATTTATACCTCGTAAAAGCTTGTACCTTGATTCAGTTGAGTCAGTTGACTAAAAATAAAAAGTTGTAGCTTACTCAAATAGGATTCCTTTTTTAGAGACAGGGGTTATACAGTGATACTGCAATTTTTATATTTATTTTTTCATGTTACCCTTTCTATGAATAGATCTAAAAAGAAAAGAACTGCACCTTTCCACATTGTTTTCTTGGAAAAGGCCACATTTGTGTACACCTTCAGAATACATCCTTCACTACCATCTCTTGTAACATCCCAAAGCCCCTGTGACATTACAAATAACATAGAAAAGAAATATGAAACATCTTGGCATCCATTACCTTTAAATTTCCAAAAAAACACTGTAGTTGAAGCATCAGCAAGGTCTAGCAATTACCTCCACTTGAAAATAATCTCCGTAAGGTACATCATTCACTTTTTGACAAGTCTCAACCACAAGGTGACTAAATATTCATGGAAAGAAAATCAAAAGTGTAGGAAATAATAACACATTGACACCAATTACAAACTAAAGTGTCAGAAGAGTGTACCTATTTCTGTAAAGTTGATATTTCTGAAGCTCGTGACAGCTACCAAATTTTGCACCTAAATGAGGCCCCACCAATAAGATTTAATAAGAACAAAAACTAGTATGAAAATTTACATGTGCATTTGGTCATACTTAAAACTGAGACTTACCCAAATAAACTTTAATTGGATGCTGAAATGATAGATTTCGGGTGCGGCCAAGTTGCTCACAAGGGACCCACTGGGTGCATTTGAAATCTAGAATACGATCATAAATAAAAAAAGGCACATGAGGTGGTTCACTGATCCATCAAAGTTTCAGCTCAACAACAATCTGAGGAAACACGTGCATGCATAATAATTTTATTGTTATGGAGCCTTGTGAACAGCTACCTTTATCCCCACACTTTGTATGAAAGGACTCTTGGAAACCAACACCATCATTTGAAAAGAAGAGATCGAAGAACTTTTCCACATTCACCTGTGTTGCAAAAGATGAGAAATATTGACAGCATAATTACTGTAAAAGGTGCATCAACTTGCTTTTAGGTTATGCATTACATTTACCAAATAATTAGTCTGAATATAAACTCATTGCAACTAAGCGCAATAGAACAAAAGAAGTTAAGAAATCATGGAGAGATTATGATACCGGAAACTTAGATTCAGCAACCATTGTGTAGCCTTTTGGGACTGCATGTATAAAATACTAGTTTTAGAGTAGATTGTAAGTAGATTTAGAACTAAAATAAAAATATTGGTTGCAGTAATTATGAAAAAAACATATTCAGTAGTATAATCCGTAAAACAGAAAAGAGGTAGGAGACTAGACAAATAACAAACAGGTAGAATGAAGCTTCAACACCAGCAGTGCATGGCTACATCTATATCTTAAGAGCTAAGATGACACAAATTATTTGTTTTTAGACTTTTAATGAGTCTGGAGCTCCATCTTCAATGCTCACACTCAACTAAATGTTTCCTTAGGTGAGAGCTAATGAACCTTTTCAAAGTGAAATTGCTAAAATATCTACAAAATGTGCTTACGAGTTTTGGGAATTTAGCCCTTCATGGTATACTCAGTTATTACACTAGGAATGACACAACTAAAAAATAAGTTCAAAGTGCATTCATGTAAGAAGAAATTATGCATGTAATAATGTTCAGACATCCTAGAGAAGAGTGATATGTAGATTGATTACTAATTTCATTGTTTGTGCTTAAGTTTCATATTTACTAATACAACTGTGGTTTACTCACAAGTCAAACATCTTCAAAATGAGATTTTTAAATTGAAATTCAAAAAAGGTGTGTGTCCATGGTGGAAAAATGATAACCCGAATATGAATTTGACTAACCCTCGGGTGCATCACAATCAACTTCCTCCAGGAATAGAGATTTTTCTGATGATGAACAATTTGTTGTGCTCTGAACAATCTCAGCATGTTCCTCTAAAGTGTCAGGTGGCCCTAGAGGAATTGGAACAATTTCATAATCTCCATTGTCTACAGGCTTTGTTTTTTCTGACAAAGAAATTTCAATATCCCTGGTAATCACAAAAGTGATAGAGTTAAGTAAATCAGCAATTTACTGAATAACAAAGCTCAAAATAAATACCTGTCCACAGATAACTCTTCATCCATTGGTTGATCAGAGCTCTCTGGTTTATCAGCCACTAGACACAAGTTCTCGGGAGTTCGTGGCTCCAAAAATGGTTCCTGCTCTCAAATCAGCAAAAAAACACTTTAGCAATGTGTGGATGAACTACACTGATAATAACAATAACCATATGGGTGTTATTCCCCTCTGTGTATTTAATTACTTAAAACACTATCTAATTAACATTCACTCAATACACACAATTTTTAAGTAAATCACATGTTTTGGAATGTCAGTAGAGGCTTAGATGGGCCACTCTGGGAATAACTCAGACTATTGGAATAATGGTGTTAAAATATGTTACTCCCTTCATTCACCAAAACTCTTCCTATTTCGTTTTTACGTGCAAAATCCCATCTTTTGTAAAATGATTTTATTTACAAATTGGTATAAAAATAAAAAGTAAAAGTTACATAATTAAAAACTATATCAAAAGTTCTACAAAATAAGTGGTGACTAGAGTATTTTATTTTATCAAATGACTTGCAGAAAAACACAAGCAAACAAAAGTTATCGAGCACCCTTGAAGGATTTTGGTGAACGGAGGGAGTGCATTTTTTACTTTATTGATGAAAAAATTTTGTGCTAATGGGCGGTACAATTAGCTCATATCTCTTGTTTACTTTGTGTTTATGCTTATTTATACGGTTTATTAAAAAGCCTATTTGGAAAAAACATTTAGCTCATGATGAAAATAATAAACCTGTTGATCTCCATTTGCTTTAGCTCCACCATTGTGTCGCAGCCAACCATCATTTATAAGCTTAAAAGCTTCATCACGGGACATTAGAGATGTAAAAAAGAACTGCTAAAATGGAAGGCTTGTGTTACAGAATAGCGAAAGATCCACAAAGTGCTATAAGGAATGCAACTTAAGTTCAGGACAGTACCTTCTTCTCTCCAACTATTACTTCTATAGCTGCTGGGAGTATTGCAGCCATTTTTGCTTTTCTAACCGATGTAATCTCATCAAATCGAATTATTTTCTACAGACAAAGAAGATCTAGTTAACAGTCAAGTTGTGATGCTGAATAGCTAGCGCGTGAAGTTGAGGCTGTTTAGATAAGAATACAAAGAAGAAGAAAAAAAGTAAACATAGAATAGAACTTCACAGACATCGATGTGGGTTATACTTGGAAAAATAAAAATGAATAAAATAAAAATGAATAAAATAAAAAAAGGTACATAATCTAAGGAGTTGAAAGAGATAGTCTACAACGAGAAAGGCTAATGTAAACGTATGCAGCATTTCAACAGAGATTGGTAAATATCAAACCTTTGTCTCAAATCCAAAAATGTTGGAGTAAAAGCATATATTATGTGCAAATAAGTACATGTGACCCTGCAAAAAATAAAAATTGTTAGCACATTACTTTCAAAGCCTTCCTGAAGAATTCCAATGCATTCATGGGGACAGTGAAGAACATAAATTGTGAATAAGAATGACGCAGCTAATGAGATCATTACCTGAATAAGAATGTTCTCGTGCAAAGCACAGTTAAAATCTTGGATGAGAACCTATGGAGGATGAAGGAGAGAAACTAAGCTTCGTTCAGTAGGCATGTGTACAATCAAACTCTATAAATTCAGTTCGCTTAAGTTTCCACTTTGCAGTGTGTGTGTGTGAGTGTGTTTACATATGTATATATACAATATATATATACATACACAGTATATACTATTCTGTAATATGCTATCATATACATATGCATGCATGCAAGCATGAATGCAGACATACATATACGGGAGTATTTTATTATTTATTATGTGTGTACTGTGTGTGTTGACGTGTTGTAATACACACCTAGACATGGAACATTTCAACCATTGCCATGTATGCAATCCCACACACACACACTGCACACACACATACACAAAGTCATCCTGATCATAGTTGAGCAGAAAGGTGCGAACTAGCCTAAGATTTGCATGGACTCTTGGAGTCAAATTGGCAAATCTTTACACTTTTGAGCTAGTAGCAAGCAGTTCTGAAAGATTGTGTTTGAACACCGCAAAAGCACAGCGTAGGAAACTACAAGTGGATGCTCATAAACAAAAAGGTAAAATGATACTTTAAAACATTTTACTTACTTCATCTGCAGGAAGATGAAAAAGTTTCCGGTACTCTTCACTCTTCAAATACTGGAGAGACTGTTAAAAACAGATGATCATTGTTATGTATGCCTTTAAGAAGATCACCAAGAGTTACGATCTGAAAAATATCAAAAGCTTTTCTTTCTAAGAGGTGATTAAAAATAATGCAAACAATAGAAGATAAGATGAGTTCTATTTGTAGCATTTGTAAAGGCATTTACATCTAACTAAATATTGGGATTTATAGAGTAAATGGGAAAAAGTTCCACACTAGTAAATAGTAAATATTGCATCCATTAGTGTTGTCTAGCTGGTATACTTAATCATATAAAGTATGATTAAGGATGAAGGATTTTGATCTCAAATATAGAAAATTGATTAAATGCTCCAGAACCAGTCCAGGACAGGTAAACCGGTAATCCGGTATAGTACTGTGGCACTGCAAAGAAGCAAGAAACATGCGGGGGAGTGTGTGGGGGGGGAGGGTTTTGTAGAGAGAATCGAGCTTGAATCACTTCTCCAGTCCAGGTCAGAGCAGTTTTGCTACTGTTTATGTGGAAAACGGTAAAACCTTGTGATGTTAAGGCATGTGAGCAGTCAATGAATGGTTTCAATAGCTGATGGTTCTATGACGATTGATGGTCCCAAATCAATAAGGCTGTGTTTGATGGTTGAAGTTTTAATCCAGACCAGCACCAGTACATTACAGTTCAACTTTGAATCTCTCGCCATTTTTCAAAAATTTGAAAACTTGAGAGACAAGAAATCTGAAATCCATTATGGGGGAGGGGGGAGCGAGAGATTCAAACTCTCGCCATTTCAAAATTTCAACTCTTCATCTAATGCAATTTTGCATCTTAGAAGATACATCGCATGCATGTATACAAGTATGTTGCCCCAGCCCTCAAGTGTGATGGATGATGAAAAATCAATACATTGCCTTATTAGCCTTGTAGGCCGCCATTAATTTTCAGAAGATTTAGAAAGTTCCTAAACATTTCCATCTTAGTACTCCGTAGTATCCTTCTTATTATTGCAAGCACAGTAAAAGTGTAACAAATTAATATACCAACATCTAAAATCTCCCAAATCTTCTTATTTCCACTCCAAAGGTGTTTCCATTACAAACGTGTTCCACAATTTCTTCTTGTTCAACTTTCCAATTGAAATATTGAACGCAAATGCCCAAAAGTTTACATATAATAATTAGCTTACACCCTAATTGAGGTTCCGTTTCATTGAAAGAGACAGAAGCAATTGAATTGATCGAACTTCAATCTGCACAATATAGAAAGAGCTTAAAGTGCATGCGGTCCAATTCTCACCTGAGGATCCGAGGCCCTAGACGAGCTAGGAAGAGAAAAAGATCGATCGGCAGAGGCACGATCCGGCGAATCAGCGATGTCGGAGCGTCCGGAGAGAACGGATAGGGATGGTGAACGATGATCCATGAGCTGCGCCGGCGAAGGCGACGGCGATGCCTCCGCGGCGTTCTGAGAAACCACCGCTGTCATTGTAGACGGAGAGGCAACGGCGCGGAGTCCGAGAGTGGTTACGCCCAAACGGGGAAATGACGAGTTGAGTTAAACTTGCCGTGGGAAACGTGTTTTTACATGGTTGGAAGATTGTCGGTTGGGTGGGATTGTGACGGAGTAAAACGTAACCGTGCCGGAGCTGATTGACGTCGATCGTTCCCGGATAACGACGGGCTGTCGCCCTAATTTTCCAATTTTCCCGCAAGTTTTGGATTAGAGGTAGGACATTTGGGTAATTAACTCATGAGAGGGCAATGTTAGGGGTACCATTACATAGGTACACAAACACATAATGTTTAGGTGCTATTCCGTTCAACTTATTTTTTCTTATTTTTTCTTATTTTTTCTTATTCTTATTAAAATCAGATCAGACCATATCTAATCAGGTCAGATCAGATCCCATTAACAACTATTATTGTTGTTGTTTTTGTTGTTGTTATTATTAAATGAAAAAAAATAAATTTTAGAAACAAGTTAAATAGAAATTGATAAATTAATCCTTAATTATTAGACGTCGAAAAAATTATTTTTAAAATACATTGACAATGTTAAACTAATTCTACTTTTAAAAAACATTTTTATTGCTACCTGTAATTTGAGTTTCTAAAGTTTTGATCTTTTATAAGGATGGGATATTTTAATAAAAATACTATCTCTTCTCTGTATTGATTTTATATAAATTAAATATTTATTCTAATGTATGTACTTCCTCCGTCCCTCTGTATTTGTCCACTTTCATTTTTACACATCATCTAATGCACTTCTTTAATACATTTTATCTTGTATTTGTAAATTAAAAAATTATAAAATTATATATTAATAATCTATATGTTAAGACAAATCAACAAGATCACACATGACTATATTTAGGCTTACACATTGAGAGAATACAGGGGGGCGGAGGGAGTATGAACTAATTATTAAAATATTAAATCAATATTCTTATTTCACAAACAATAATCATAAAATAAAAAAATATTATTACATTAAAATATGAATGATTATTCTAATATATAAATTAACTTATTTTATTTTATTAAAAAATAATTATAAAATAAAAAATATTGATTATATTATAATATGAATTATCATTACAATTTTCAAATGTTATTATAAACTCAAATCAAATTATTGATTTGAATTTTAAATTAAATCATAAATAATCAGATCAGATCCAATCAGATCAGACCAAATCAGATCAGATCCAATGAGATCAGATCAGAACTACAAAAAAACAGATCAGATCAGAAAAAATAAGTTGAACGGAACAGAGCCTTAGTCATAAAAAAATATTACTCCGTATTATTATTATGTATCTGGGAAGGTTTGATATAAAAATGAGATGTCTCATTTTGGTGTATCTTTAAGTTAATTCTTGTGAAAGTTAATGGAGACCTTATTATATATTTTTTGTTTCGACATATCTTTCATTACATTTTTAACGAGTTTTTTGTATCGTTTATCCTTGAATTATCCAAAAATAGTATGAATTCCCTCTTAACTTTGAAAATTGCATCAATGGTCCTTGAACATTTAGAATTGTTGTATCAACGATCTTTATGCACCAGATTTGGGAGTATGCTAATCACACAGTCATCGAGTGCAAGTACGGATTCATCTCAATAAGTATATCATACGTGAGCCATGTAATATGCTCTTCCTACTCCCATGCCTTATTGTCTACTCCCTTAGTTAACTAAAACACTTTTTCATTTTTTTTCTCTTTCACCAAAAGACTTTCATTTTCTATTAAAAAATCACTTTTACCACTACTAATTTCTATCGTATCTATCTCATCATATTTTTTCATTAATAACTTATTCATCATATTTTACTTTTACACATCCGTCAAGAATGAAATTGAAGTCAACTACAGACATACATTTCTTATTTTGGCCTAAAGTAAATATAGAAATAATTTCAGTTAATGGATGGAGTATATTTTTAACCTCTTGAAAATATAGATAATTATTTTCACTCTAATTATCGATAAATGATCTCAAAGCCTAAGCAGTAGCTGAACAAGTTCTTCATTATTCAACCAACGTCTTCGTCAATTGCAGACATTTTCATCAAACTTTATCTAACAGATATATCGATTAGTATATGATTCACACACTCTTAAATCTGGCTTAGAGAGATCATTGATCCAACATTTTTAAATGTTTAAGGACCATTGGTGTAATTTTTAAAGTTTAAAAGAAAGTTGTGTAATTTTTGCAAAGTTTGGATAAATGGTGCAAAAAACTTATTTTTCAACATTTAAAATATGAAATGATATTTAGACAATATTTTCTGTTATCACTGCAAGATATACTATTATAGTGCATTTGGAGTGTCAATACTAAAAAATCAAATGCTAATATCATTTACTATTTAAAATAGGAAAAATTATCTAAAATAATCTCAACTTTATCCGGTCTTTTAAAAATAATTCTACCTTTCACTGTGATGCATAATAATCCTAACTATATTGAAATTCGCCAGTTTTGGGTCGCCGTTAAATTTCTAACGGAGGGTTAACGGAAAGGCCCGTTTTAGGCCACAAAATGAAAGTTTGGATTATTCTTACCTTAGAAAAAAATAGATATAAAAAATAATGAAAATGAGAAAAATAACTTAAACCATACAAAATTAATCAAATAAATAATGTAATCAATAGAAATTAAACAGAAACAGGTAAGAAATAAAATAAATATATACGGAATGGTGGGTTTTAACATTTTACACACTATACGGAGTTTTAATGTACTACTTATTTTTTAAAAGAACAAGCCGTCCGGTAAAGTTGGAATTATTGTAGATAATTTTTTCTAAAAAATAAGAAGTGATATGTTAATACTTTGTATAATGCGTAAAATATGAAAACCCACCCTTATATTTTTATTTTACTTTTACAAATTTCAGGTTAGTTTCCATTGATGACTTTATTTATTTTATTATTTTTGTATCATTTCTCATTTTTTCATTTTTAGTAAAATTTTTGTATTATTTTAGTTACATTTCTAATTTTTTCATTTTTTATATCTATTATTTTTATTTTTTTAAACTAAGACTAATTTTTAAAAAAGGAAAAAGAAATGATGATGGAGGTAGAAAGTAATTTAAAAAATTTAAATGAAAAAAAAAATAAAAAAAATGAAAATTCATCAAAAATAATCCCAACTTTCATTTTGTTGCCTAAAACGGGCATTTCCGTTAACCCTCCGTTAGAAACTTAACGGCGACCCAAAACTGGCAAATTTCACTAAAGTTGGGATTATTATGCATCACAGTGAAAGGTTGGATTATTTTTGAAAGACCGGGTAAAGTTGGGATTATTTTATATAATTTTTCCTTTAAAATATCATAATTATCTTTACTCTCTTTATTTATTACACTTCACGTTACTCATTTAATATATTTTATCCATTTTCATTAAGGAATGTTTAGTAAATTTTCTTTTTTATTTCAAAATTCTTTTAAAAACATAAAAGGTCACGTGGGAACATCTTTTGAGTACAAAGGTAGTATTTTAAGAATTGTTTCCCCTGTAGTGGCGATGAATCCTATTTTTACAATTTTACCTGATTAAATCAAACAGAGAGCACCTGAAATTTTAGATTTTTTAGTTGGGTCACAATCAGCTTTAAACACGCAATTTATTAGTCAACAAGACTTTGATATTATCTCAAAGAATCAACTCAATCCAATGTTCGAGATTATAGTTGCAGGTTCTGAAAAAGTTTTTATGGTCTAATAAATACTCCCTCTGTACTATATATATATATATATATATATATATATATATATATATATATATATATATATATATAGGTCAAGTAACACATCTAACCGATCTAACTAACTAAATTAAATAGTCATTCAGAACAGGTGACAGAAACAATCAACAACAAACTTCCAAACAAGGCCAAATATAGCATATCACGTCAAAACTGAGGCCCGTGTTGTGATATATGAGAGAACTTTAATTTGGACTCTTATTTATCACCCGTTTGGAAGTTCTGAAGTTATGATATTTCTTGATATCGGTCAAAATCGTTTTTATGCTTGATGAGTTATAAAAAAAACTTTTGATATTTCTTTGATATCTTTCAAATTGAAGAAATATCAATACGAAAGTTTAATCTCTTATTTATTGTCGATCGTCTCCAACCACCGGCTAGGCGGCTACCATTGACACCACTAATCACTCTTGTTATTGGTCATCTCTACCTATCCGTAATTAAAGAATGAGTTAAACAATTTTATTTTAAATATTAGAACTCACATCATTTATTCCAAATTTCATAATTTTTATTATATTATACCTCTAAAACCCACAGAATGTGCCCTTAATACTCCATTAAAGTGTAATTAAAATACTCTATTTGTCATATAATTAAAGTCACAAAATGGGTTTTGATGGTTCTTTAAATTTATTTTTAATTTATTCAAACAATGAAATATATATATATATATATATATATATATATATATATATATATATATATATATCAAAATACATCAGGTGTTCTATAAAATAAGATGTGACATGACCATGTTATGTTAAAACCTTTAACGACAATTAACATTTCTACCTACATCTCATACTATTTATCTATTTTTTGATTTTTTCCACTCAAAATTGAAAAAGTGTGAATACTAATTACAGAGTAAATAAAAATCGTATTAGACATTGACACACACATAATTTTATAATTTTATTAGGTTCATTATTTTATACAATTTTTAAAAAATATTACTTTACTAATTAATATACCATATATTTTTGTACTCAAATATAAAAAATGTTTGGATACAAAAAGTCGAAACATGACAAATACTCAGAGACGAATGTACGGTAGTATAACTTTTGAAAAAAAATCAAAAATAAATTAATCTAGACACGATGTATACTAATATTCATTCAACTTATAATATTTTTCAAAAGTCATAGTAGTCATTTAAATATGAATAGAGAATTGAATATTCTATCATAAAATAATGGATATCAAATGTCTAACTTTCATTTGAGACATTATTGACGGTGGATGTTGAGCAATTGACAAGCTAAGAAGTGTTAAAGGGGTAATAACCGCTTTCAAATATTGGCAATTGTTGTGGGTTATACAGAGTAATTATGTAAAGTATATAACATCGACAAGTCTCAAATGCAAGTTTATATTTTGAGAGA